GCGGAACTGGGGATTGAACTCAGGCCCCTATGCTTGCCAAGCAAGCGTTTATTCCATTGAGCCATCTCCCTGGCCCCCAATGAACCTGACTTCTAGAAGGTCCCCGTACCCAACCTCCCAAGCTCCCAAGCAGGAGCAGGAGGTTGTACCCCAAAGGACAGGAGCCAACCAATGTACATTCTAGGAAAAGAAGGAGAAGGGCCCTCTGCTTCTAAAGCAACCAAATGCTCAAGAATGACCATGACCCATTTTATCAGATGACACAACCAGGAGAAGAAAAATTTGAAGAGCTCTAAAGTTTCTCACACAGACAAAAAGTAACTCTTGAGGAGTCTTAAGTGGCCTTGTCAGGCAGGCAGGCAGGCAGACGACCGACAGACAGATTTAGGGAACAAAAAGTCAAACTTCGATGTTGTTTTAAACACCCAGAAAGAAAATATAGCCAAAAAGTAAAGTGAATAATAGGAACATAAACAGAGCTAAACTAGATATAAAAGAGACTGAAAAACACCACTCCAACTAACATGTTCAGCCACACTTGTTACATCTTAACCTACAGGCATAAAAAAAATATCTGAACTCCTGTCCAGTACCTTTTCCAAAATGTGTCCTTTGACCTGCCTTAGTATACTGCCATTATGTTATTCTGATGCCCACTAAGGTATTCCTAAGGTTAAAAATGTAGCTTCATAAGTATCTGCCTATAGAATAAAAATACCACATAAAATATTCTAGTCACAAAGATAATTGCTGGAGGTTGGGGCCTCCCACACCCAGCGTGGGTCTTCCGTCTTTATTGAATCCATCACCCACACCCACATCTATGCTGAACCCGTGTGGACCAACCCAGCCTCACACAGTCTTGATCCAGTCACTCCCAAAGCCCCAGCTGGGCACACATGGCCTTGCAGGGGACATCCACATGTAAGACATAATACTTGTCTGTTAGGTAAAATTCTGTTTTACCACCTACCTCACCAGCCCTCTGTATACCTCCCCGCATGGCTTTTTATGTCCACCTTCCCTTCCTTAAAGGCTGCTCTACAGATTTCAGGGTCCACTATTGGAAACAGAGACTGCCCTTCAGGGACTGCTTCTCCAGTTCTCTCTGGTGCACGAGCCAGTTTTCCTGTAACATCTTGCACTGGCTGTACCAAATCTGGCTGGTCCTTGACTGACACAGTTGTGAACTAGGGAGACCCACTAAGATGGAAGGGACCCTGGGGAGAGACAAAGGCTGGGTCCTAGCTGTGCTGGGGATGCAGAGTCAAGATGTGCTGATCCATCAAACACTGCTGCAAGGAGGAGGGCAGCGTGGGGAATGACCAGAGCACTCAGGTTGGATCAAGGAGTTGTGTTGTCATTACTAGAGTGAAGCAGATTTGGGGCTGGAAGGGGCACAGACCTGGGTGAAAGAGTGAAATTGGAAGCATTCAAGTGGAGATTTATAATTGTGTTGGCACATGGACCTGAAACTTCTAGGAAATAAGCAGGACCACTATCAGCCATAGGTGGAGGCAGCACACGGGGGTGGGCAAGCGCCCCCTAGAGGGTAGGTCAGGTGGCAAGAGGAGAATTGGGCAGGATAGGAAAATTACCCTCCAAGGGTGAGCAGAAAAACATGAACTAAATGGAGGAGTCTGGGCTGAAAGGCTGCAGAGAAGAAAGCCAGACTCCATAGACAAAGGATGACTGCATTTCAAAAGGGATGGCCAGAGGGTGACACGTCCTGGAGAGTTTGATCCAATAATAGGAGCCGCAGGAGTCTACTGCTTGGTTGCATCAACCCATGTCCTACCACTTGGCCTCTGTGTCTGTTCTCCTGGCCCAGGCTGCTCCTCTGAGGCTACCTCTCCCACTTCAGACCTGAGTACTGATGCAGAGTAGGCATGGGGCCGGGTGACCGTCCCACGGGAATGAAGGCGAGCAAAGGCAGCGCTGCTGAGCACTGACGCTGTCCTCTGAGCTCCCTTCTGCCTCAACTTTAGGTATGGCTAGTGCACTTCACGTTCATAGCACACATGCAATAAATAACACTCCCTTTTCTGCTTAGGCTCACTTGGGTTGTGTGGCTGAACACTCTTCACTCTTGTGAAACAGTCTTTTTTTCATGTATTTAGTACAGGGTCTACAGGGTCTCACTCCACAGATCGGCCTCCTAGTGATCCTCCTGTTTTCAGCCTCCCAAGCATTAGGATGACAGGTGCGTGCAACCATGCCCAGTCTCAGTTGCCATCTCAGTGTGCCCTGGGGGCGGGGCCAACACCACACACTGGGGATTGAACCCTGGTCCCTGTGCCTGCCTAAGCAGGCACTTTGGTCCACTGAGCCATCGGGCTGGCCCTTTTGTGAAACACTGTTAACACTGCACATGTTATAGCTCACAGCTATGTCTGTGCAGCACGCATGGCAAGTGGATGAATCCTGAAGCACTGCGTGAAGAACACCTACTCAGGGTCCCCAAGGAAGGCCTAGAGTCGCCAGTAAACATCTCCTTGCAGTTGCTCTTCAGTTCCTCTCTCCTTTCTTCAGAGTCTTCCTACCTTTTGCCCTAAATATGCTCAAAATTACCACTTCACATTATACCTCCTCTCTCCTACCCTTTGCAACCCATCTGTGCTAAGGGCCTCAGTTAAAGCCCTGGTATGTGGTATGATTAGAGAAGGGATGCCTGTGAAGATGGGGCATAAAGAGGGGAACATGCCTTCATTTCCTCCTCACATCCACTGCTCAAGCCTCAATGGCCGGGCTCCCCTCCTAGTGTGGGTGCACCTCCTAGCAGTCACCATGGCAAAACCTCGCAGCACTGCCTGAATCAGTCTCCTTGGCTCAGTGTAGCCACTCAACTGGTTGCTTATCTCGGCCTTTAAAATTCTATCTGGAAAGGTAAATAGCACCCATCTCCGAGGCGGATCAGAACAACAAAACCCCCCTTAGGCGAAGACGGAAATCGCCCGGCACCACTCATGATGGGACTGTCGGTTCCTTATGTTCTCCGAGCCCTCAGGTGGTGACTGCAAATGTCCACTGGCCCCACATTCGCAGGTATCCCTTCTCTAATCGTACAATACACCAGGGCTTTAACTGAGGCCCTTAGCACAGAGCGGCTAAAGAGACCAATCCTGCAGAACAAAGAGAAACGGTGGATACAGTACTCCCAACAGGTAGGCTAAACATAAATAATGAACACAGTTACTGTGAAATTCCTGTGTTAGTTTCCAGCCCTGCCTAGCCCAAGTATCAGGGGAAACAATGGTTGACGTGTCTGCATGAAGTTCAGGTGTATGGCCCTCCTTTAGCAATGTTATCTGTCCCTTACGAATAAAAAGAAGTTTCCTCATAAAGAAATGGTTGTATGCCATGGGTCCTAAGCAGATCCCAGTCTCTCTTTCCCCTGTGTACAGCCACACAGCAGGGTCTTGCTTTCTTCTGTCTCTCTGTCCATGAAGATTGGTGGGTGACACTATGGTTAGGATGAAAGGGCCGCACACAAACCAACAGACTTGGCATGGAGGAAAAGATATACACGACCCCCCTTCGCTTCAGTTCAGGGCCTTCTTTATTAGGGAAGGTCCTTCAGGCACTTTATTAGTAGCAGATACAAGTTGGGAAGAGCACCATTTAAAGTCACAGTCCAACTGTGTATATGAGGTCAACAAGAAGGCAGAGAACACCGCAGCAGCGGTTTATCAGCAAAGTGGTAACCACCAAGCTGTTGGCCTAATGCTTTCTGTCACACATAGCCATCACCCTGTCTGCTTCTATCCTCCAAGGAATGAAGAGAAGTTGGGATGCAAGACTTGTTACTGCTCTAGACACATGTGACACTTGCTTTGACAACGTCAAGGTCCCCACCCATGCTCAGATCTGGACAAAATAGCAGCGATGTTCTCTGTGCCCAACCTTCTCCTGTCTGCTGCGTCTAGGCTAGATCTTGAAGTGTCTGATCCTCCCGGGGCATCGGGGAGGCACTGGGCCAGCGCTACCATCAAGGACAGGCTGCGTCACCTTAGGCTTCTCGGGTTTGAAAGCTTCTCCAGAGGCTGACTCCACAGAGCCCACAGGTGTGAAGCTGTGACGCAGATCATAGTGTTTCCGGTGCACGGGGAGTGACACCACCCTGGCTGGCAGCACTGCAACAGGTGCAGGAGGGGCTGGAGGGCCTGGCGGGTCTACTGCAAGGGGTGAGTTTGCGGGGTTGGCCACTTCCGGTGGGGGCTGTGGGGCTTCCTGTTAGAGAGAAACACTTCCTGGGTTAGTTTGCTTCTTCTTCCCAAAGCCACCTCAGGCCTGGGTGGTGCCCCCATCCAATTTCCCCACCAGAATGATTTTTATTTGCAAGGTATAGTCCAGCAACAAGGAATTGCACAGGTAGAGAGGATTCTCATCAGAGTTACCGGGGAAGAGCAACAAGTCTATGGAGACCCGAGTCGCACAGGGATTCTCCTGCCAACGCTGGGCTTCCATACTCCTGTCCTCACCTTTAGTCATTCATGCCATGCACGCCTCACTCTCACGCTTTGACCTCTACAGGTGCAGCCACCGAGCTGCAGGCAAGTCTGCCTCCCTCTTCCTGCAGCTCAGAGGGCCACTGCCACCTCCCAGGAATCAAAGGTGGCCCTGGCCAGTGCCCACTCGGACTGTGCTGCCCTGTAGCCAGCTCAGCACAGGGAGGAGGCTCCCGGAGCATCCTGCTTGTGGGCCGATGAATCCACATGCCCCATTGTTACTTTATGTTGCAAGGTTCTGATGGACAGGGCAGGATGTACCTGTTACTACGCATGCACTGCGGAGAGGATCAGTGCTCGCCGCATTGAGAGCAAGAGTCTCTGTGACGTTACCTGGGTTTGGAATATCGTGCAGCTCACTGCAACTTCTTCCCCACCAAGCTTCTCGGTGAGTGTCGCCTTACAGAAACCGTGTTGCTGCCAAAAGAGAGGAGTTACTTGAATGGATATCTATCTATCTATCTATCTATCTATCTATCATCTATCTATCTATCATCTATCTGGTACAGGGTCTCCTTACACAGCTCAGACTCATAGTGATCTTCTTGTCTCAGCCTCCCCAGCACCTGGATTACAGGCATTTGCCACTACTCCCGGTTTAGGGGTCAGCAAGGTGTGCCCAGGGCTCCTGGGCTGGCACAGCATGAGGTACCAGGAATTAAACCCAGGTCCTTGGGCTTACCAGGCAGGTGCTTAGGTTATCTCCCCAGCCCTTTTATGGATTTCTAAAACATGAATTTCTCTCTTGCTTTCATTGATGCAAGCATACACAAGGTAAAGAAATATAATTTTTATCTTTCTTTTAAAAATACCTTTTTAAAGTTTATAGTTGCTGTTTATAAAAGACATATAATTCTTTGTACACATAGTAAATACAGAAATGCAACCAAAGTGGCAAGGATCATCCATAATCCCAGAAATGGTGGTGACCCTGGGAGACCTACTGCTAATACTGATGTATATCTTTATTATTTTTAAGTTATTGAATATAATTTGTTACCCTATCATTCCATGTCCTGCTTTGTATTCACTTCAAAAGTGTTGGGCCAGCGAGCTAGCTTGGCGGACTAAGCACCTGCTTAGGCAAGTACAGGGACTGATCCCTGGTACCCCATGCCACACCAGCCCCACCCTCAGGAATGCTGAGGCAGCCACCAAGTCTGAGCATGGTGGTTCTATTACTGGGGAGGCCAAAAATGAGGATCCCTGTGAGTCCGAGGTGCATAGTGAGACCCTGTACCAAATGCATAATTTTTTTTTAAAAAAAGAACAGTGTTTTCGCCTATCCTCCATTATACCTTGTAATCTTCTATTTATTGAGATTCTGCACACTATTTAGTGAAGTCCGCCGGCATCTCTTTCCTTCTGTCGTTTTGTATTCATGACGGATCATCTTTGCCAACTAGTTTCTGTCAAATAGCTCTGACAATTTCCTTGGGCTAAATTCTTACAAGTGGACATTACTGGCTCAAGGACTTGAACTTTTTTTTTTAATTTTAGGGAAGGGTCTACAGGGTGTTCCGGGTCTCACTACTAGATGGGACTCCTAGTGATCCACCTGTTTACAGCCTCCCAAGAGCTGGGATTACAGGTGTGCGCCACCACACCCGGTCTCAACTGCGAGCCCTGGGGGCGGGGCCAGCACAGCTGACCCAGGGACTGAACCCTTGGGCCCTGTGCCTGCTTGCGGGCGCTTTAATGTGCTGAGCTTTGGCCGGCCCTGACTTGAACATTTTTGCACCTCAGGTTTTTCTAGGAATTCTACGCTCCTTCTGGGCATGGCCTGGCTTCATTAGGATACAAGCTCTACCTTTCCCCTAATGCCCTGTGCCTGTAATGGGTGAGATGACATTGTTAAAGGGGGACAGTGAGACCCCAGAAGAAGTAGATAAGTTTTACTATTATTTTCTTCCCACAGCTGCCAGATGCAAACCACATTAGGATTCCCTGCTACACGACCAGCCTGCCCAGGTGGCACCAACGCCAGCCCGTTTACCTTTTTCGCTGGCTGGGAGCAGGCTGCATCTGCGCCCTCTGCAGCAACACAGTCAGGGGTGACCACTGCGAACTCCACATAGGTAGAAACTGGGAGAGGCTGAGAAGAAAGCAGGAAAGCGAACTTGAGGCAGGGTGACCTGACCCAAGAAAGGCAGAGACGGGCAGGCTGGCGGGCCACCGCACAGCCGCTCCTCCAGCACGGGCCATGTGCTGCAATCTCAGGCACACACCACCCGGGCTGACCGGGGCGGTTGTGTTCTAAAGTGCTCTGGACTAGCAAAGGTTGGGGTTCCCGCTTCCCTGAATGAAGGCCGTATTCGCTACCCATCATTCACCGCACAGGCAAGAGTTTTCAGCCGGAAGTGGGAAACCGGAAGCCCAGCCTCGCGCAGACCCGAGCGGGAGCCCGCCTCTCAGGCACCGCCTTGGCTCCGGGGCTGCACTTTGAGACCTGAACGTTGGGTTACTCCAAGCAAGACAGGGCGGGAGAGTGGAGCGATGACCCCCACCACACACATTTAGGAGAACTAGGTGCAGAAGCCACTGTTCTTCCTTTTGTTTCTTAGAGACCTTGGAGCCCAGGGACATTTACAAGAATAACTACCCGCTACTTAGCATGTGCTGGGCTCGTTACCCTCTGGGGGCTGCATCTCCTGGATGAAAGAATTACCATCTGCACACAGGCATCTCCAGGTGGGCCATGGCTGCAGCCCACCTATCACAATTCTGTCATACCCAACTATGCCAAGCCACCCGGAATTCAATCAGATGTTTCTTTCTGCAGTGATGTAAAAGACATTTTAGGGCACTGCAGCTCTGTGCCAGGTGGTATAAGCAGCGCTGCTTGGGAGGTGGGGGTGCCCACCTGCACGCCCCCGGGAACCCTGAGAACCCTGGGGTCCTCACGAGCCCTCACCCCACAGCCCAGGGCTTTCAGTCTTTACCACAAGCTGAGCGCGGGAAATCTCCAGCAGCTCAAAGCGGGAGCCGTTGTGCTGCGCGTTGAAGGCGGCCAGAGCAGCGTTGACGGCGTGCACCACCCTGGTGTCGTTGAACTGTGCCAGCAGGGGGCAGTTCGGGCACACCTTGCGCACATCCTCCGCGGAGTCTGCGCAGAGAGGCGCTGCGTGAGCCCCGTTTGTGCCTGCCGGGCTCCACGGGTTCAGGGGAGAGCTGGGCCTGGGCGAGCTGCCTCCAGCCTTACTCGGCTTCTGAACTGAGCCTTGGCTTGGGCCACGTAGGATCCCTGATTTGGGGGTCCCTGCTCACCTCCAAAGAGGGCAGCTCTTTAAAAACTCGCCTTAAACCAGGTATGGTGGCACAAACCTATAATTCCACTCCTGGGAGGCTGAGGCAGGAGTATAGTTGCGAGTTTGAGATCAGCCTGGGCGGCAAAGTGAGCTCAAGGCCAGACTGAGCTGCATAGCGAGACCCTGTCTCAAAAAGATATACACACACACACACACACACACACACACACACGCCCTCAATTCTCCAGACCCGAGAAGTTTGGCTTCTGGTCCTTACCAGCAGTCTCTAGAGCTGCACGGTATAAGGCTCAGCACTTAGCATCCCCCGCCCCAGTCTGCTCTCACGGGCGTGGAGAACAAGGAAATGCACCAGTGTCTGTACCTGGAGTGGACTCGCACTGCGCGTACAGCACGGTGAACTGGCCCTCAACTTTGAGCACTCTCATTTCACAGTCTCCTTCCACCGCCTGGAGAAATAAACCTGGCATCAGGTCCCAGGGAGACCCCACCAAAGCACCTTGCTGGGTCACACTGTACTCTTTGTGTTCAGGGGAGGCTTCAAGAGAGTAAGTTACAGTAAAAGTCAGCCCTAGGGCTAGGCATGCGGGCGTGTCTGCAATCCCAGCTACTGCGGAAGCTGAGGCAGGAGGATCTCAAGAACCGGCTGGGCCACGCTCGGGGCCCCAGGGACACTCACATGTTGGGCCACCTGTCTCACAGTGCAGTTCTCTAAGGGCGTGGGGTCCAAGACGTGGCAGATGGTCTCCAGTGTGTCGAGTTCAAGCACATACAACTCTCCGAAGGGCCGCTGTGGAGACAGAGGGGGTCGGTGAGCAGCGCCCTGCACCAGTGCGCTAGTGCTGCCCACCACGCACCCCGCCAGGCCTGTGCCCCACGCGCTTCCGCTTCCTCACCCGGTCCAGCTCTGACCTGGCACGGGACCAGGCTCAAGACCGATCGTGGCTTTTGGGGTCTTCCTCTGGCTCCATCCCTTGCTACCAGTCCTCACGCTGGACTTTATTTGCAAACTTGGAAAGGCGTGTCTGTACATACTTATTTAAATGTCGCTCTTCAAGCAGTGCTTTCAAAAAGTTTGCTTTGGGTTTCCGTAATCGAGTGGGGTGGTGTAGGATGGCAGCTTATTGCCTGATTGTTCTCTACCCTCCCTCTAGTTCGTTCCTTTTTCCCTCTCCTCGCCAACTTTCTCCCACTGCCTATTTCTCCCTACAGGGTTTCCTTGCCCTGGACTTAGTCTTTTGCTTTGTTCCGGGTGTGCAACAGCTGCTCTCTACTGCACCCTGCTGGCGACGAGTGGGAAGAGCGAGTCAGTCATAGAAGGCAGCTAGGAAACCCTCTATCGCTGACACAGATGCTCTTAGGATGCTTGCCTGGCTGTTTGGAATTGTTCTTGTCTGTTCAACCGTTTCTGTATCCTTTCCTGAAAGCCTGAAAAATCCAGAAAGCCCAGATAACCTCAGCCTGGCTCTGCCTCTCTTTCAGCTGTGCCTGACTCCCTCCTATCTGAAGCCTCTGGAAAAAGCACTGCATATTTTGATGCACAGCTGTGTCCCAAGTAACTTCCAGAAACTCCTCAGCGCTGCAGGGACCAGGAGCCAGGCCCACGTGAGCTGCTCGGGACTCCCAGCTATTGCTCTTCGTGTGCTCCGTGCTTAATTCCCGGAATCGAGCCGTGGTCCTCTGAGCCACCAATCTTACTTCAGTGTGACTGGAACATTCTTAAAATTCCCAGGACAATCCTGGTTTCAAACGGTTTGTCCCTTTGTGAGGTCAGGTGCTGCCTGTCAATCCTGACAGTCTGATCTTTATCTTACTTTCCCTTCTCTAGTGCAGACCCCTTGTGGCATAAACCATCCTTCTCACCTATGGATTGAGTTCAAACATACAAAATTACCATTCTTTTATGTCGAGCACAGCCAAATATTGGCAGTTGGAATAGCTCGGCCCAATGGGTGTCTCTAGCGCCGGACGCTAGTTCTTACCCATGCTGGAGGTAAGTGTTTGCATAAGTATTATCTTTAATCAGATATTAAATCTAATTTCCAAAGCAAGCAGTTGACAAGTGCTTTTCTGCCACCTTCCCAACTCCCCACGGATCTCCATAGTTTTCTGTCTTTCCCTGTATGGTCTCTGGTTCAGTCTGCATCGTGCTCTCGTCCAGCACGAAGAGAAGCAAACCTTGTTTGTCCCAAGACATCGCTCTGAGACAGGCGGGAGGTGTTTGGGGAGCAACTTGTATGGAGGAAGAAACCCAGGTCTGAAATAGAATCCCAGCCCAAAAGCTCGCTACGACCTTGAGCACATCATGCCAACAGTCGTGGGGTCCTCTTCGGTAGAGCAAGGACGGCAGGGCGTCATTTCTGGCCAGCACTTGAGTGCGGCAGCGCAGTTCGTGAGGTGAGCTACGCCAAAGCATGGGACACACAGCAAGACCTTGTCAAATGCTAATTTCACTCCTTCTCAGTTTTTGTGAGAGACAAAAGCCAAGAAAGGGAAATGATTTGTGGACAAAGACAGCGTGGCAAAGAGGAGCCTGTCTCTTAGGCCCTGGTTTTCTCAGCAAGCCACGCTTTCCACCTGAGACCTGCAGACTATCCTTGGAAGCATTTTCTTCTCCCTCCCATTCTCCGACTTCCACTGAACACACTCCCCAAGGACCAGGACTGCAGAACTGAGCGTCTCCCCTCTCACCACGCATCTGCTCTTTCCTCCACACTCAGGAAGAACTCGGTTTCCTCCCTGCAGTTTCGCTCATGCTGGGAGACGCTGGTCCTTGGCGGCACCAGCTTGGGCTCTGTGCATAGGTCCCCTCAGCTCACTCACCCCAGTGCACTTACCCGGGGCAACACCTGGACTTTGTCAATCTGGTTCAAGGTGTGCTTGAACCCGCGACCGACTTGCTGGTTGAGGTAATCCACGGCAGCCAGGGCTGCCTGCTCCGTCTCTACATCATCACAAGCCAGCTCCTTGTGAGGCACCCCTGGGAGGTGTGGGGCTGAGTGGCAGCCCCAGAGCTGAGCAAGACAAAGGAGCAAAACAAGGGACTTCATAGCTGCCCCCAAGAGTCCCTGGCAAGTGGGCAGATGGCTGGGGAGTTCCGAACAAAGCCAGGTACTCTGCTTGGAAAGCTAGGCAGGTAGAGGGGTGGAGGGCTTTATTTATCTATGAGAGCCCGCTGAAGGAATTGCACAAGGACAAGGGATGATTTCAATTCTGGTTCCAAACAAACCCTGGAAACATCAGCCCTGGAAAAGCAAATAAGTTGGGACATCACTGATCCCCAAGAAATCTGCCAAAGTCAACTCCGTTGTGGGGGAGGTGCTCCAAAGTCTGCTTGGAACAGCAGCCGAGGGAGGAGGCAACTGGGGCGACCATGCGTCAAAGCAGCCAGCTTCGGTGTGGCAGTGCTGGGAGGTGGGTGGGTGGGGTGGATCTGCCCTCTGCCTGGTAGGAGCGGCTATGGGGTCAGTGCGTGGGGTGGGAAGGATTCAGAAAGTTGATACCATCTCAACGTTGGAGGCCATAGCCCTTCCCCAGGGGCCCTGGAGGGTGAATGGAGCATACAGAAGAACAAAGGTACAATGAACTCTGGGACCCAAGATCTAGGAGACCCTTAAAGGAAAGAAGAAAGAAGAGAGAGGTTTCTGTCACAGAGTTGAAAAGGAGGGGCTCCTGGGAAGGGGAGGAATCTAAGCAAGGGTATGATGTCCCCATCCCCTTATCCTCCTCTCTCCAGACCTCACTGCCAGGAGGCTGCAAGTGACCATGTGGCAGGTGCGCCTGGCTGTCTCCCAGATGGCACAGCAGAACAGTGCAGGGGAGTCCCCCCAGCCTCACAGGCACTCATCTGACAATGCTCTGGGTTCAAATCCAGCACCGCACACTGAGAAATTTAGGGCCAGCTGAACACACAATTGTCCCCTTAACACTCTCTGATGGCTTAGAGGAATGGCAGCATGTCTTTGCAGCTAGAGCGCAGGACCCCAGTGTTGACTCCAGTTGGCACCTTTTAAGTGGCCCTTGGCCAGCTCCAGTGTAGCCACCAAAGAGTGGGCTGGGAAGGTGGCGGCTTGGGCAGTGTCACATGAAGACTTGTTGCAGCCCGGAGCAAAGCAACCCTAACAGGGAAATCCACGTGCTCCTCAGATAGTTAGAGGTTGTCCCTGTACGTAAGTGGGCTTCTGTGCTTTGATGTTGCTTCAGGAAAAATAAAACTGGACTTTAAAAAAAGAGAAGGAGGGGCCGGGGAGATGGCTCAGTGGAATAAGCACTTCCCTGGCAAGTGCAAGGGCCTGAGTTCAATCCCCAGTTCTG